CATATGTGAAATATTTAAATAGCAACCTTTTGTTGTTGTTGTTGTTTCTAAGACAGTGTTTCTCTGTGTGGTTCTGGCTGTCCAGGAACTGCCTGTGTAGACCAGGCTACTACTCCCCAGCACAGTTGTCAGTCCTCCTTTCTTCCTGTTGCTGTGATGAGATACCATGACCAAGGCAATTTATAGAAGGAAGAGTTTATTGGGGGCTTACAGTTTTGGAGGGTGAGTCCATGATCATCATGGTAAGGAGTGTGACAGCAGGCAGGTAGAGACCATTCATATCTGAGAGCTTACGTTTTACCTTCAAGTAGGAGACAAAGAGGGGACTAATGTGGGCTTTTGAAACCTCAAAGCCTGCCCAGTGACACATCTCCCAACTGGCCAGACCTCGTAATTCCCTAATAATTCCACCAATTGAGTACCAGATATCCAAATACATGAGCATATATGGGCCATTTTCATTCAAACACCACTCTACCTGTCTGTCAGTCTATCGAGGAAGGCTCTCATGTAGTCTAGCAGGACCTCAAACTTGCAGAGTCTGACCTTGAACTCATGATCCTTTTCTCTACGTTGCTCAAGTGTTGGGATTACAGGTGTGTGCCACCGCACCTCCACCTCCTCTGTTTCTTTCTTTTCTAGTGCGATGTTAGTAACAAGTGTTGTACCATTAAATTATATCCCCAGATATAGTATTTTAAATAATTTTGAGCTGGACATTGTAGGGACAGTTTCAATACTTGAAAGCAAGAGGTTCAGAAGTTCAAGGCCCACGTGGGTTGCATGCGACCCTGTCTCAGAAAACAATAATAACCCACCACGGTGGTGGTGGTGCTGGTGGTGATGTCTATATAAAACATATTTCATGGTGTGGAAGTTTCTACTTGTGCTATCATGATAGCATTTTAAAGATTTGTTCTTAAGCTGGATATAGGGGTGCTCACCCTTAATTTCAACACTGGGTAAGCAGAGATAGGAGGACTTCCATGAGTTTGAGGCCAGCCTGGTCTATGTTGTGAGTTCTAGGACAGCCGGGACTACATAGAGAGACACTGGCTCAAAAAGCAAGCAAAGAAACAAGTAAAGGATTTGTTTTTGTTTTTTATTTAGAGATATGTGTGTATGCCCGTGTCGTGTGTTCACTTGTGTGCAGCTGCCCGCAGAGGCCAGTAGAGGGCATGGGATGCCTGGAGCTGGAATTACAGGTGTTTGGTTGTGAGCTTTTGACAAGGATGGTGGGAACAGGACTCTCCTTTGGGAGAATGGCAAGGACTCCTATCTTCTGGCCCTGCTCGTCAGTTGACCTCCCCTACCGACCCATCATGCTGGTGTTTTGGAAGTTAAAGATTTTAGAACATTTTGGATTGTAGATTTTCTGAATAGAATGGTCAGCCTGCTCTGGTCATGTGAATTTGCATAAATGCATTAACTCCTCTGTTGCCTCTATTTGCCCATCAGTAAAATGAAGGTGAGTACTCAGCAGACTCAGTATTATTAAATTATGAACTAAATAACAATAATATTAAGGTATTATTATTTTTAAAAAATATGAATTTCCAGGCCTACAGCTGCACCTCTCCTGTCCCTTCTGCTCCACCCTCCACATGTAACAGCTCTCGCCCGTCTGCTCCACCCCTGCATATGTAACAGCTC